AATGACATTAATTACGATTTGCCTCTTGGTGCCAGCGATCAGGTTTGCTTGTCTTTCCAGTGTACCCTTATAAGGCCTTGCCAAGCTACTACCGGTTGGTATCCGAACACTTGGACCGCGAACTTTCAAGCGATGCGGCATAAAGCTAGGTCCTCGCCTTACGTGATATCTGAGACCGACACTGTTCACATAGCCTGGGAGAAACTTAATGCTCACCTCCTCGACATTTCTGTACCTCACATCCCACTGGTAAAAAGAAGGGGATTACACAAGTTTAGACTCAACTATTTATCACTTTGTTCAGTGTTTTCACTCATTTTCATCAGACAACAACTTGCTGTACTAAACCACGTAAAGTATTTTCAGTCTCTTTATAGTCCGTTAGTTACATATTTCCAGCTATCGTGTCTCAACGCGTCTTGGTGTAGCCGGTCCACGGGCGTCACGGTAACAAGTTAACAGGTAAGAGGTCGATCGGTTTTGTTTCCTGTTATCATTACCCTCATATTCCTCTCCGGCACTCTTCCGTGCTCTTATTTTCTGACGACATAAAGCTCAGGAGTATTGCTGATATCCCTGGATGTCCTGTGTCTCTTCAACAGGCTGTGGATAAACTGGGAATGGTCTGTCTTGTGGTTGCTACCCATAAACCGGACAAAGTGTTCAGTGGTGCGTATCGGAACGTCTGCTTCCTCCACAAGTTATGTGCTCGATGGGAGTGGACTTCTCACGTGACTCATCAGGTCGATCTAGGTGTCGTCCACTATTCCACAGTACAGTCTGGCCAGCTTGAAGACGGTTAGTAAAAAGTTGCGGATGTTGTGGTTTATCCGTCGTTCTTTTGGGACCCTAACAGCTAATGTGTTTGTGAAGCTTTTCTCAGCGTTTGTGCGACCCCACCTAGAATATTGCGTCCAGGCCTGTCCACCACGACTTGTCCGAAACAAAATGGCACTAGAAGGGGTGTTGCGTGTCGGTACTAATTTGATCGAGGGATTACGAGGACAGGCGTACCCCAAACGCGTACTTAGTTTGGGGATGCATTCGATGCACTATCGAAGGATTAGAGGGGACTTAATCCTAACCTACCGTATTTTGACTGGGAAGGTTGGCCCTGATTTGTCCTGGCTATTTAGTCTTGCTAGATTATCTTGTCTCCGCGGGCATTGTATGAAGCTGGACAAACCGCGGTCCGATCGGGTTAGAGCGAAGACACAGTTATCGCGTCGAGTCATCGAGCGCTGTAACTTGCTTCCAGAAAATGTTGTCAAGGAATGCACGGTTAAGGGGTTTAAGCGTCAATTAGATGCTCTTGGGTGGCAACACGAAACTTTTCCTTTTTTCCTGACTAACTCCCATCTTCATACCGATTCTATTTTCTGTACTTTTCCTCACTATTGGTATTATCCCCTTAATTGTTTTCCCTTACTCTTAACCTTCGAATTTTCTTCCTCTCTTACTTACTTCACGTAAATGACGTAGCTGTGACAGCTAATGTAAGGATCGTTGGCATTAAATTGGTGGACCAGGGTATTTTGTCGGGTGTTTTCGTTTTAGACCCATCAAGATGGAGCACCCTGGATCGACGACCTGCTCAAGAAGGATTCATCCTATCGTTCCAGTCCCACTTGAACTTGTACTGTGTCTGTTACATCGGCCTCTTACTAGGCGGCTCTAGCGTCCAACCGTCTACGAGGTATTTATTTCGCATTGCAGCTTGTCGCACTACTTGGACACGGAAGAGCTCAGAACGCCCGACCGAATGGAATATTATAAGTTTGGCGACCCTGCCAGTTCACGACAGCAGTCCACTGAAGTTAGATTGTAGCCCTTGAGGCAATAGTTAACTTTCTTCTATCGTACTGCTTGTCGTTGAATCTCCCGAGCCTAGTATACCGCGCTCAGTGTCTCTTGCAGGTATCTAGATTGTTGTCGGTGTGGGCCATTATGTGCGCTGAGGACAACGCCTGCTAAGAGGGGGGATAATGTGGCCGGTCCGCGGACGTCACGTTAACAGGTAAGAGGTCGATCGGTTTTACTTCCTGTTATCATTACCCTCATATTCCTCTCGGGCACTTCCCTCTTCCGTGATTCCTTAGCTGTTTCCGTTACATCGGCCTCTTACTAGGCGGCTCGAGCCTCTAGCCATCTACGAGGTATTTATTTTGCATTGAAACATGTCACATTACTTGGACACGAAAGAGCTCAGAACGCCGGACCGATGGAATATTACACTAGAACTTTTGGATGCTGGCTAACACATTCCGTTTGAGAGCCAACACGAGACTCGCAAAAATCTCGGCAAAATTGCGTGCTAGCCCCAAGTGAGACCACGAAGCCTGCTGACCTCATCAATCATCAGATATGGAGACAGCGACTGCCCTTGGTAACCATCTTATACGGGAGACTGGCAGCAGGAGACCACATGCGACGAGAGTGGGCAGCCGATCTAGCTTGTAAAAACGTTTGGAGTGCTTGGCCGAACACTTTGAAAAACGGTTTAATCAGCCAGTCACTAGCTTCCTTATCGGCCGGTAATCGTCCTTTTTCCTAGGCCGCCCCTTGGATCCCCACTGACGCGCAGGTGTCAAACGTGAGATTAAGCTATTGCAAGTGAATACGGCTGCAGGTGCAGATGAATTTCCTCCAGCCCTTCGAGGGGGCCGCTCTGCATAACTTACTAATGAAGCTGTGGAAGCAGGAGACTATCTCAACAGACTGCAGTGGCCCCGTTATAGTTCAAATTTTCAAGGGTGGTTCACCTTCGGAATGTGGCAGTCATGAAGTAGTCTGTCTGATATCATTCCCCTCTAAGTTGTCTCTATCGTTCTGCATGGACTGACTAACACATGTGAAAGCCAGATCTGCGAGGAGCAAGCCGGGTTTCCTCGAACTCGATGCTTCATTGACCGCCCATTTACTTTACGCCAATTGTTAGAGCACCGCCACAGTTATTGGCGACTCACCGTAGTCATGTTCCTTGACATCAAAATTACCTTCGGTTCGGTGGATCGATGTGCCATTTGGTACTCTTCTTAAAATAAGTGTTCCCGACAAATACCTAAATGTCAAGAGCGCTTTGTTCGGGCAGAGTGAGGGCTTAGGGCAAACTGTCGCTACCCAACCATATCTCCAGGGGTGTGGGACAAGTTTGCTCACTGTCTCTTTTCGCCATCGAGGAAGTCAGGGAAATGGCGCACACTGAACACGGTTTATGCGGTGTGGAGGTGCTTCTATGTGAGCGAATTCTTGACTTGGAGTAGGCTGACGACATTGTTCTAATCCGTGACAGCTCCCAGCCGTGCCAAGAAGCACTGGGCAGATTAGCATTGGCTGTCAATCGTTTTGGTTTATGCATAGCACTCCGAAGTGCCAAGTCCTCCAAGACTAGCAATTACCCACCCCTGCGCTGTTTCTTAGCGGTGATCAGCTAGAAGTCGTCCAAAAATGCAAGTATCTGGGCAGTTATATTATCACCTGTGGAATAGAGGATGAGACCACCAATCGTATAACAAAAGCCCGAGGTGCTTTTGCCAGTCTGCGCCACCTGTGGCGCCGGCGTGACATCACCCTCGCCCTGAAGCGCTGAGTTTATAATGCAGCCGTCTGTTCAACACTTCCATAATCTTGCTAACTCCGACACAAGTTCGACCGATTTAAAGAGGTTTGTTACGTTCCATACTTTCATGGCTTAGCTGATGTCTGGTTGGACCATGGTGTGATCAATGAGCGTGTTCGGCGTCGTATATTTGGTGCAAGAAGAGCGAGTGGACCGCTCAACACTGTTATGTCACATACTGGACTCCGATGATTGGGCCACGTGTTGTTCATACCAGCACACTGAATCTTGCGAAGTGCGTTGTTTGTGGGACTGTTTATGGCACAGGAAAAGGAAATGAACCGCTCAGCACCGTTATTTCACGCATCAGGCTCCGATGGCTCGGCCACGTGTTACGCATGCCAGCCCACCGACTTCCGTGACGTGCGTTGTTTGCGCGCCGGGGGTGTGGATGGAAGAAGAGGAGGGGTGGCCAAGCGATGACTTGGTCCAGAGGAATGAAGACCCTCACTTCTGAGCTGGCCTCGGTTGGAGCGTCTCGGCTCCCTGATTGGGGTCCGAAAGACGATGAACACGTTTGGTTGGACACACTTGCTGATATGGCTAGGAGCCGACCTCAGTGGCGTTCGTGCTGTGAGTTTCTTTGTCCCACCCCATCCCTCTTATCCTCCCCCTCCATCCACGATCTCATTACTTAGCCTTATATAATTTTGCATAATAATATTTTTGGGTGCACAGCAGCCGGCTGGTAGCTTACCGGAACGATGCCCATCCGTTACCGGTAGCTCAGCCAGCTTTCACCAGTTGTTGTTTTTTTCTCTCCTCTTTTTCTTTGTATTGCGGCACAGTAGCTGAGGTGTTCCCCACCTCTAGCTAACGTGTATGATGATGATGATGGGACTGGGGTGTGGATGAACGAGGAGGGGAGGCCTAGCCATGACCTGGTCAAAAGAATGAAGTCCATCACTTATAACTTGGTATCGCTTGGTGTCTCGCGATTACCAGACTACGTCCTAAGGAAGGTGAACACGTTTTGTTGGATACACTTGTTGACATGGCGAAGAGCCGACCTCATATCCTTTGTCTTGTGAGTTTCTTTGTCCATCCTTTTTCAGCCACTGTTTCTTCTCCATCGACGATCTCACTCCATGTATAGCTTGAAACAGCATTTTATTACTTTTTTCGTTATTATATTCTGTGATGTTTAGTATCTCATTTCTTTACACATCTTATACTTCGTATTGCTATACATTAGCTGAAGTGTGTTTATTACCTTCACCTAACATGTACTAATGGTGGTTATGATGAGGTCAGTAACCTTATACCATTGACGTTAGGCTGCTTCCCCTACAGCTAGCACAAGCAGGGCGTTGGTCCTCATTTCTTTCCACTATCATCGACCCACTCCATGACTGTTTGAACAGATGGATCAGTGTTTTTCCGAGGACCTCATTATTATCGAATAGTGCAGATGCGAAAGAATCCAGACTAACCGCGGAAAGATTGGTGGCCGTAGTCGCGTTTTGTTCCTCAGTCTCGGATGTAGTTTCTGGATTAATCGACCATGATTTGGCCCGCAGCACGGCGGGTCAACTGCGCTGTTCACAAGAGCGTTCCGTCAAACGAATGGGACGACATTCCTTATTTGAGATTAGAGTGCTGCCGCTGTCCGTGTCTGTCTCTGACACATCATATCCTGGGACCAGTGGTGTAGATCGGCGTTCATCACTTGCTATCGCCGCACCTAGTTGGTTGAAACTGCTAGGTTGCCACTCATTGACGTAGCATAAAGACATGAAGAGACTGAACCGAAGATTTGGTCGGGCGGGTGCTTGTCAGCTTCCTGAATTGAGGTCTAGGCATGAACCACGGTAATAAGTGGAGATTCTATCGGACATCGTGCAGTCAGTAGCACTCCTGCACTGAACTTGTTACCACTCTCCGTTAATATTTCACCTAGATTAACTTATTCTCTTCTTTCTTAACTACATTGACATTGTATTCTCCCCGTGTTTTACCTCACTTCCATCGCCAGTTGCTGATCGGTATCCTGGGGACACGAGTCGCCAATTGAATCCACCGCACTTCGGTACTCGAATTCTAGTTGTTTAACTAAACTGAGTTGAGTTACATACCGCTCTCTACTCCCCCATTTCTTGAGCTCCTTGCGCGCATCAGGCTTTTTTGTCAGCACGTGGAGTTTGTTTCAGTTCACACCTTAGAGTCCATCTGGTTATACTGTACTCTTCGCCAGTGAAGTTTTGCTATGGTTTCTGACAGGTTCACTGACTTCTGAGATGTCCAGTGATTGGTGTGGTGACAACTGGTAATGCCGCAAGTAGTGGCTATCACATCGTGCATTGTAATGGAGATATTACCCTATTAAGGTTCGTTGTTCTTAGGATGAGAGGACGAAACTTCGGCAATCAGTTATCTTGGTATAAATTCCTGGCTGAGAGATGTATAACTACTGTTGCCAAATGAAGATATTGAAAGTTCACCAAGGTATAACCGAGGTTGATGTACGTATTCCAAAACTTGCAGTAATCAGGAATCATTATACACGTTAGCTTCAGGTGGAAAACACAGCTGTTGTGCCGCAACACAAAAGACAGGAAGAAAACAACAGAGGCACGCTGGTTGAGTTCCCAGTAACGGATGCGCATCGTTCCGGAGCGTTAACAGCCACTATCTTGTTGCAAAAAGTTGTGCCTAAGGAATGAGATCGTGATTGGAGTGGTGCCTAAGCAGGAGGGTAACAGACAAAGGAAGTCACAACACAAACGCCATTGGGGCCAGCTCCTAGCCATATCAGCAAGTGTATCCAACCAAACGTGTTCATCGTCCTTAGGACCTCAGTTAGGCAGGTGGGATGCACCAACCGACGCCAACTTCGAGGTGCGGATTTTCATTTCCCTCGACCAAGTCATCGCCTGACCTCCTCTCCTTCTCTTCCAAGCACACCCCGACGCGCAAACAATGCACGCCGCGGGAGTTGGTGCGCTGGCATGCGCAACATATGGCCCAGCCATCAGAGCCTGGTGTGTGATATAATGGTGCTGATCGGTTCACTAACTCTTCCTGCATCAAACACGCTCATTGCTCACGCGGTGCCCCCACCAGACATGAGCTAAGCTGCGGAGGCAGTGATGATCAAACGTGGCAAGCCTCTTTATGTCTGTCGACGTGACGGGCCAGGTTTCACAACCGTATAAGAGGGTTCAACGGATGGCTGCATTATAAACTCTGCCCTTCAGAGTGAGAGTGATGTCGCGTCTGCGCCACAGGTGGTGGAGATTAGCAAAAGCACCTCGAGCTTTTGCTATACGGTTTGTAAGCTCAGTTTCGATCCCACGGGCGCTAATATGGCTGCCCAGGTACTTGAATCCATAAACGACTTCTAGCTGATCACCACCAAGCGTCAGCGCAGAGGTAGGTCCTTGCCAATCTTGGAGAAGAAGTTTTAATTTCGATGAAGCAAAGCATAGCTCAGAACAATTGACAACCAGTGCTAATGGGTCCAGTGTAGCCTGGCACGTTTGGGCGCTGTCACATATGAGGGCAATGTCGTCCGCATACTCCAAGTCAAGAAGCGGCTCACCAGGAAGTGGCTCCACACCTAGATCGTGCCCAGTGAACGCTGTTTCCATGTCTCTATCAATAGCGAAGTTAAAGAAGAAATGTGACAACGGGCAACCTTGTCCCACACCGCTGGAGATACTGAAGGGCGGCGACAGTTTGCCATAAACCCTCACTCTTTCCGAACTATGCGCATACAACGCTCTGACAATGTTTACGTATTTATCGGGCACACCTTTTTTCAGCCGACATTCCCAAAGGGCACATCTATCCACCGAATCGAAGGCACCTTTGATGTCGAGAAACACGACGACGGTGGGTCGCCAATATACATGACGGTGCTCCAACAATTGACGCAGTGTGAAGATAAGATCGATGCAGCCTCGATTACGACGAAACCCGGCTTGCTTTTTTCGGATCTGGTCTTCACAAGCGCCAGTCAGTCTGTGGAGAACGACAGAGGCAAACAATTTAAAGGCATTTGAAATCAGGCTGATCCTTCTGTGGTTTCCGCATTCCGAACGGGAGCCTTCCTTGTAACTTGGAACTATGACGGAGCGGCTCGTCTGTCGGGACAGTTTCCTGCTCCCAAAGTTCCATTAGCAACTCGTGTAAATCATCTACAAGAGCAGGTCCTCCGAATTTGTAGAGCTGGGGGAATTATATCTGCACCAGCGGCCTTATGCAAATCCAACATTCTGCTCTCTCATTTGACTTCTACGCGTGAGGGCAGATCTAAGGAGACGGCGCATGGTGAACGGCATTTAATACCCGAAAGAGAAAGTGGTTACTTAGATTAGTTAAACTGCCTTGTAAACTGTTTGGCCCAACGTGTCAAGGATGGAATCACGCCATCTGGGATTTGTGGCGATTTATTCTATTTTAATCCATCAACCGTCAGCTGAAGGGTATGGTCAAGTGACACTTCGTTGTCCACTGTGCATAAAGACGGTGATGCTAGGAAAGCTGGTGGTCAGCTCACAGTTGAAATAAACACTCGCCATTCTCTATGCGTTTGGAGCTAAATCTGCATTTTACATCTAACTGTGCTGCTGAGGAAATTGGACGCCTTACTTGATCATTCAAGCTCCTCTGTTACCCGAGAGATGTTTGAACTGGGAACGCTGAAATTAGTTTGTTAGGTTCGTGGCATCATGCGTCTTCCGTGGCTTGACGACTGTAGCTAGTAGGGTCACCATCTTACGGCTTCCGGTGATGCTCTGCGCAAACCTTAATTGACCTCAAGCTATCTGCGCACAGACGGTTGTTCACGGTGCTCTAATCAACCAGGAATTACCCTACTCCTGTGTGGACGATAATGTTATTTCCATCTTAAGCTGTGTTCCCTGCTTCAGCGTCTCCAGATACGCGCAACTATTAACGAGGCAGCAAGTTAGGCGCAGGTATTTCGACAACCGCATGAGGGCCATTGATCTTGCTTTCGAACGCGCAACGCACATAGATGCCTATTGTGCGTTTAAGTGCGGCCTGTTGCTCAATCCATCTTAAGATAAAAACGTTCGGTGTTTGATCATTTTTGCCCGCTTTTATTTTTACAGAAGCAATCTACATACCATCTTAGCAACCAGAATCTCTTGTGCTTCATTGTTTTCACGGAGCCGCCGTTTGTTTACTCCCACAGCGTTCACCACCACAGCGTTTCACAACCTTTGTTTCGCCCACCATGTATTTTACGCCATGTATTTTACGTTTCGTTTATTAGCCACTGATTAGCCCACTCGTTAAGTTTATTTGTCTTTGAAGTGTCGTTTCCGTTGGCTTAATAGCCATTGTGATTTTTCAGCACTTCCTCAATAATGTCTCACGGTAGAATGCGTGGCGGTCGTTGGGGAGCAAATTTTATTTCGGCATCCGGTCCCCGCACTAGCTATTCTACATCCAGTGTTAGAGATAATGGCCCTGGAGAGTACTTTCGCTCAGGATATTCCGATATTGCTTTGGCTGCAGACGGAGTCCGCACAGGTGGTGCTGCCGTCCCACCTCCCAGTTCTACCAATCGATCTACTCGCGGGTATTCAGATCCTAATGAAGCCGTTGCTCGTCAGACCAGTCTGGTTCCTGTCCATGGGAGTTCATCTCGTGCTTTTGCTAATCTTGGTCGCAAGCGCGTCGCAGATGAGGAGGAGTAAGCCTTAAGTATTTCTTCATTTAATTGGATTTTATCTACCTTGCTGCTTTTTTTCCGAAGTCCCCTGTCAATCCATCTTAAGATGTCCATTGTTCATTCCCGCCTTCTACACCATTTCAGTTTGTCTAGGCTTATACAACACAACCACAACATGGAAGTGTGATGGTTAGAATTTCACGATTCCTACTTTAGAGTTAGTAACAATTTTCACTTGGGCAGAAGTGGAATAACCACAGCTGTAGTTGTTTGCAAATGATAGCAGCATACATTTTGTGGATTAGCATTTGTAAACGAGTGGTCGAATGCAGGATGCATGTTAAACCAAAGAATGCACCACGTCAGGCGGAGTTTAATGTTACTTATGTGGTTTACGTCTTAGCTTATATCGAGCAACAGGTCTCGAAGATTAATACCAAATATTATTATCGTGGCGACTCGTATGGATGGATCCAAAGATCCCAACATCTCATTGCAAAATGACCATGATGGCTCACTCGTGGCCAGTCCACCCACTGTCTGTCTAACACTGTTGGCTTCCACAAGGAAATCTTCAGGCTGACAACCCCCAGCAGTTGATTCTGTTTTTAAAAGTACCCCAAAATGCTCACTGCAAAAATCGCGCTGACGGACTTATATCGTATCCGCTACACTGCTTACAGGTCGGCCGGTGGCCGAGTGGTCTGCACGTTTTTTTGCAACCATAAGGTCACCGGTTCGAATCCGCGTAGGGGTGGGCGTCCTCGCGGTATACTCAGCCCGCGCGCGACTGGTGGTGGTCGCGCGGCAGCGAAGCGCCGTTGCGGCGTACAGCTGACATATTATTATTATTTATTTACACTGATTACAACCATCACACTGCACCAGCTTGTCCTCTTAATAGTAGGTATATCAAAGTCTAAGTGAGATTGTCGCTGACATTTTTCCGGTCTTTAAGAGCTAGAGCTGCGTTATGCACTCACCATAGTAGCCTTTTGAAATGAAGACCGATTTTGTCTATCGCACTAATTTACGACTGGTTATTTTTCAGTCTACCACGACTTTACGTTCACCGGAAGCTCCTTTTGTGTTCCTCACAACAGACTACGCGTGACAGCGTTACTTTATTATTCATTTTTTAGTTTCACAGCCGAAATGATCATGAGTCACTCTGTTTGATGTGTATACTCTGATTAAAGGTTCTACATGTGACTAACCGATTAATTTGTGATATGCATCTGAAATCAGTCACCGTTCCTGTGTTCTTCGGTGTTGCACACGCCCAACTCTGCACTCCATGATAGGATTCGTTTTTCTTTGGACTCATCAGATACGGATTGCCAGAGCTTGGAGTGGAGCCGGGAATTTACTCACTAGGCCACTGAGATTTGCGGGAATTTATACAAAGTTGTCACGTGGTTTACTTATTTGTGTGGCTAAGACTCCTCTGGTCACCAACTTCCTGAACGGAGGATGTTTGTAGTGAGAAAGCCTGTATGATGCGATGTTGGCTTATTGTTCAACAGCAGAGTTTGCGACATCTCAGTCGGCCAGTGTTATTGTCTGGATCAGAAATGGAGCCATTGCTCTTTGATGGTATTGAGCTGCTAACAGTTTTGACCACCAGTTCCTACGAAGCACAATTTGTATTTGGTGGACTCCAAATTAATTAGGCAGTTCCTGCAATGGCTGCGCCAGATACGATGCCCTATGGAAGAAAACATCCATCAAACAAATATAATAACCAAATTCACATAGCACAGCGGATCATCAATACAGTCACAGTTGCAGTGGCAGATTCTTCTGGCGACTTTATAACTCACCTTATTGGAAGGAATACCTTTGAGGCATGTGCAACTATGTTCGGCTCTTCTGCTTACTTCAAGAACATCACTACATACTCTCCTCTTGGAGTTACCCCGAAGACGTACTTGCCTAAAAACGTGATGAACGTAATGAAAAATATTTGGCATCTCGAGGGGATGGAACATTCACAGATGCAGCCATCCATGCAGTTTTATTCTGCCAAATGAGCGGGCGTTGGTCATTCGTTTTCCAATCAATCACCACGTTGTATCCACACACAGAAACACGCTATATTGCATCTCCGGGAAGTCTAACCAACAATTTGTTTACAAAATGAGTTGATCTTGAGCTACTTGTGGAATATCCAACTTGTCGTTTATGAGTTACCCAATTCAAATATTCATGAAATAGAGAGGCGATCCTCTATCCAACTATATTTTCCTCTAGTTGACAGTGATTCACCTGCATGCGTCTCGGGCACTGGTATCGTTCATAAGGATAATTTGATTTCGATTATCGAATAATTAGAAAAATTAAGAAATTACTTGAAATAATGAAACACCGACTCCGTATAAAGTCGATCGTATTTTGATCGCCAAAGCCGATTTCAAGGTTTAATAAAAGTTTTGGTGAATCTTTTTCACGGTTTTCAAACGGCCCTCACTGCACACGCGAACAGTTTTACTTGCTTCATGAATGCCTGAGAAGGAACGTGCTGCCAGCGAGTACAAATCACAGACCGGCGCTGAACCATCCAGCCGCCTGGAATTTAGCACGACAATAGGGGAGACGCACGGTCAAACTGATGATAACAGATATCCACAACCGCCTACTCAAATATTGAAGAGTCATCATCGGCAATAGAACCAATTGCCTCAGTACTATTGACCCACAGCTACGAACAGCGCTGGAATCTGCAATTGAACGTCGAGTTAAAAGCACAAAGAACCGACGCAAGATTGTATTGAATACAATTAGATAAACTGACTACGAGAAATGACTACACTAGCAGTGAAGGATGGATCAAAAACCTTTCACGCTGCCACCTCACTGCAACTAAAGTGGATGTCTTGCTTAAGGGACTCAACTTCAACGTCAAAGATGCTTGCCCCAAAGACTACTTGGCTAGCTTAGAACATGCATTGAAATCAAATGGATTGTCGGAGGAGTCCCAACAACCGATACGGCAGACATTTATCCCAGTGCTAACTCGGAATAAAGTCACCCAGACTCTAGACAAGGAGGAACAGGATACACCCAGACGTCTACAAAAAGACGAGAGTATTGTAATGCTAACAGCGGACAAAGGGCGCATGACAGTGCTAATAGACAAACCGGAGTATATTAACAAGGCCAAAGAACTGCTATCCGACACCACTACATATCGCCAGATCGATCAAGATCCAAGTTTAAAACTGGTTAACCAGATCAACGCAACGCTGAAGAACGTACAAACAAAGGACGGGCTCTTCGCCACGGAGTGATGGAGAATGAAAGCTGATAATACAAACATTGCACTGTTCTATGGACTACCCAAAGTACACAAGGATGGAGTCCCACTACGACCAATCGTCTCGCTTCCCGGAACCCCATCATATAAACTAGCAAAGGATTCGTGAAGGAGGTTGAAACATTTGGTTGCTGGATCCGAATATAGCATCAACAATGCTGAACAATTCCTCAAAAAATGCGGAGTGTCAGAATAGAAGACAACGAACTAATGCTTTCGTAGAATGTCACCGCACTCTTCACTTCAATCGGTCACGAATTGGCCAAAGAAATTATGGTGGAACTACTTGAGAATCAACAAAGTCCAACGACAACCGTGCGACCTGAAAGTTTTTGGGTACTCCTGAACCTCTGCATGACCACTTATTTCCCTTTTGATAGACAAATGTACCAGCAACCGAAAGGAACACCCATGGGATCCCCAATTTCGGTGCTCATTGCAGAAACCGTAATGCAGAAGTTGGAGCGCATTGCACTGCCATCTAGCAGCCCAAAACTCTGGGTACGATACGTGGACGACACGTTTGTCATCGTAAAACGGAACAGAGTACAGGCCATATACGCTTTGCCCAACAGCACATTCGAGGATAGCAACTTTACGATTGAATTAGTGGACGATAACAAGTTACCATTTTTGGATCTACTGGTCACTAGGAATACCGACGGATCCCTGCAAAGGTGCGTATATCGGAAGAAAACGCATACGGACCAGATAGTAAATTACCATAACGACCACCCGATGAATCACATGAAGAGCTGCATTCAACCCTGTTCAAAAGAGCGGAAACGCACTGCAGCATAGCGAAATCGCGGAAACAGGAAGAAAATCACCTATGTCGAGTGTTTAGAAACAACGGTTGTCTGAGTATTTTTAGCAGCAGAAGCTTAAAGAATCGAATGTCTCAGCAACAGCAGCAGCAGTCGCCTTCGAAAGCCAACAAACGGATAGTGCCCCTACATCAAGACGTCTGAACTAACAGGTAGATTGCTGCAGTAACATGCAATCTCTGTGGCTCACAAGCCAAGTGCCACCCTAAGAAAATCGATCTCAAGACCCAAAGTAAAAAACAATCAAGCAGACCAATGCAATGTCATCTACCAGATAAAAAAGAAGCGCCTGCGATAAAAACCACGTCGAACAAACTGGAAGAAAGCTTTGTACACGAATCACCGAACACACGGCGGCCGTCAAAAGACATAATTCGCACTGATTGGTTTCTGCGCATGAAGATCAAGCAGACCACCATTTCGTTCTGGAGAATCTAGAGATCCTAGCACATGGAGGTGCAAAACACGCGAGGGAGTTTTTGGAGGCCTGGTACTCTACAATGAATTCAATCAATCGACACATCGAACTGGACACAGTGTACGCAACACTATTGGCGAACTACCGCCAACTCAATCGATTGAATCCGGTGGAACGTGTGACTAGACCACCAGAACTGAGGACAGGCTCACAAGAGCAGCACACAAAGCCCATGAACCACAAGGGGTCACGGTCATCTGCTCATCTATCAAGCTGAATGCGGGTCGAAGTCCCGACTAATAGGATTGCTCGGCTCCACGGGAAAACCACGGTGGTATAAAAACGCACGCACACCACGCTCAGCGCACTCTCACCGAGGTTCCTCTACGCTACTGCACGCCACTCAACTATGCACTGATGATGTCACCTCGATTGGTGCCGAAACGTTTGCAACGAAATTGCCAAGCTCAGCGAACAACTCAACCGTCATCTGAACAATCTGAGCTACCAGTCTTCAATTCTATAGACAATTTTGATTTTCACTCGCAAGCGAAACCCACTCTAACAAATCAGACTCTAGCAAACAGTTAGGACCTACAATCCGATCTATTTTACAAATGTTTTAATTTTGTACCTGAAGATTCCTCCAAAACTCCGTTTTAATACAATGCGCCCCTATCGATTTACAACTAGTGTATTGCTAATCCATGTAATTGAATGATTCTGCCTATTTAAGTATACCTGGTGAAAATCGAGAGTAAACATTTATGTTCGTCATTCGTGCTCGGCAACAACCCCTCCGTTGATTATTTCTGTTATTTGTTGCTTTCGAGCCGTCTGCGTTATCCTGCTCACGTTCGTTGCTTAACTACTGATTGCCTTTCCCAGCATGCTTTGTCGACCATTTCTATTCCTCCTTGGGTGATAATTCACGATGACCGCTGGACTACAAATCATGGTGGGTTGAAGAATTTGACCGAAATATTGTTCGGACTTTTGTGTGTCATCTTTTTGGACAGGGGTGTTTGGATCAGTCAAATAAGTGGCTAAGTACCCAGTCCTACTCGGTTCAACCGCGATGTCAGTGGCGCTCCCAAAGAAGTTTTGTTTCTTATTGTGGAACCTTCGTTCAACGACTTTTTTCTTTTTTATCCATTACATTGGTTTTGTATCTTTCTGTTAGATTTCCGATGGCACTTTATCGTGACAACTGGTTGCACCTGGACCGTGCGAAATTGACTGAGCCATTCAGTGATCTTTTGGACGCTACCATGAGCTGCTTGATATTTTATGCTTGTTTAGGGGTCCTAGCCGCATGTAAATGCAGCGATGCTCGCGTTGACTTTGGAGCGATTGTCGGTACTCATCTCTAGGTGGATTGCATGTCTTAGAAACCTAGTCATAGGTCTGGAATAAATTCAGCAAATTCTTTTCTCCGTCTCTTTTTATTTAACAGTAACATGGGCTTTAGTTCTGATGGCGGACATTCCGTTGACCGAATACCTTATGCAAACCCGGCTGGATGTTTCAGGCGTGAAGGCGGGAATATCTGACAACTGTTTTCTCGATCAACAGTCATCTTCGCTGTTGTACCTCCTCTAAAATCAACGAGGAACACAAATATTTCAGTTGTTTTCTTAACTGTGACTTCCACAAAGATTATGTCTCTTAAACCGATTGGCGGTGGCGTCTTATCAAGCTTCCAGTGGTCAATGTCCGCCTCCACATGGATTCGCTTTCTTTCTGATTTAGTCCATGTTTTGTATTAACCTCAGGTAAGCTGCAGTCAGGCGCGTCTGTAGAATGCCCACTTACGGATCCTATTTGACCGCAAAACCTTAAGTATTCGTTAAACACATTCTGAAAGCGAAATCACTTATCAGGTGAAAGAAGTACTGTTTCTCGTGAAGTGCATTGTTCTTATCATCTTGAGCTGGATCGAAGTAGATACGTCGTTTTTATTTCACTAACACATTCACTTCTTTCTTCGATTAATTTCGCTTCGGAGGCCGGTCACACTCTCTGCTATTGTTGCCACCACCACCACCACGACAACCACGACAAAAAATCACGACGATCACAACCACGAGAACGACGACGACGACGAACACCACCACCTCAATGTAGACTTAAAAACCATAAAAAAGTAGCATAATGCTAATAGCACATTTTTGGTGGTTGTTGTAAGGAAAGCTAAAGGGAAGGGGAGGACAAAGAGACTCATAACACAAACGTTACTGGGGCCGACTTTCCGCCACGTCAGCTGGTGTATCCAATCAAACGTGTTCATACTTCGGTCCCCAGACAGGCAACCGGGAAACACAAACCGAAGTGAGGGACTTCTTGCCTCTTTACCATGTCATCGTTTGGCCTCCTGTCTTCGTCCATCCACACCCCCGGCGCGCTAACAACGCACGTCGCGGGAGTCGGTGTACTGGCGTGCGCAACACGTGGCCCAGCCAACGGAGCTTGGTGCGCGACATAACGGTGCTGAGTGGTTCACACTATTCCTGCACCAAATACGCGACGCCGAACACGCTCATCGCTCACGCGGCGCACCCACCAGACATGAGCTAAACTGCGAAGGCAGCGATGATCTTTATGTCTGTCGACTTGATGGGCCAGGTTTCACAACTGTATAAGAGGGTTGAACGGACGGCTGCATTGTAAACTCTGTCCTTCAGAGTGAGAGTAATGTCACGCCGGCGCCACAGATGGCGGAGATAAGCAAAAGCACATCGAACATTTGTTGTATGGTCCGTGATCTCATCTTCCGTTCCACTGGCGCTGCTATAGCTGCACGTCAATCACCGGTTTCTCTAACACTTCCTTGTCCTTCACAATCGGAAGGCCTTGGTGTAACTATCTTTTCCCATTTCTGTTTTTATCGGTCTCTTGTTATAAAAATGAGTGCGTTTCCATACAGCTGAGGTACGTTCCTGTGACGTCTTGGTAAATGCATTGTCACATCATCGACTTGTAGAATGGACAAAAAATTAGTTTACACTATAGTGCCGATCTACTTAACTTTTACAATAGATACAGATAATAATAACTTATGACAACGCAGTGCCGTTTTACGAAATTCTCGTCAACTTCGTTTATTTGTTGGCTACGGTTCCGTCGAAACTGTTTTGCCTATCCATGATAACGCATCCTATGTTTCTGCCGATCGGCCCCCCATTGTACCCGGTTTGTCTCCGCCTTGTGCAATCGCCCTTACCTACCGGTGATTTTCGTCATATTTCCTTAGAATAAACCATGATCCATCCCAATTACTTCTCACTTAAATACCTTGAAATTCATCTGATTCTCTTGGAAATCATTTTACGCGCTTGCTTTCCATGTTTGTTCCATTGCTGCCAGTAGTATCACTTTAATTTCCCTCATGTAATATCGTTAGCTAAATCAACAAAGCAATGAATAGGAAACATTCTTTAACTACGGCGTAACACAAGCTCTGTTCTTCATGCTCCATAGATGCATCTGTACAAACTCAATCCTGCTAAGGCATTCCGTTGATGGGTTGTGTAATTTTTGCTCATCGGTGGATTTACACTCGTGCTCTTTCCCATTTGGCCTCTCCAATGTTATCTTGAACAGCATCAGGTAACTGTCTTTACCAGACCTTCAAAGTGTCGATTGTTATCTTAGACACAATTTCCTCGATCTAGGGAGACAGAAACGTTCAGAGCTCTGCAGCTCACCGCACTCAAACTCTATTGCCATTGTTACTCGGTTTCTATCAGGCGCAAGCACTATTCGTCGATTGAGCTGATACACCGACCTTCCACTCTCTGGGTAGTAAGTATCTGCGGTTTATTGTCCCATCTGTTCACAAGCTCCCTTAACGGTAGCCACGTCACTTGTCGTGCAAACCTTATGCGACTTGCGGTTACATCAGTCTCAGTCGCGCAGCTAGTAGCATCTTTTAGCTATCTTTTTTCGTCTTCTCTGTTTTCGTTTTCTAGGTCGCTTGTTAGTAGTTTCTCATTCTCACGCAAGTAGACAGCGTCACTTGCGTCCTGTTTCTTAGGAGGTGCAAATTTCATGCTTTACTTATCATTTGTGCTTAAGTGTAATGTTGCGAATTTTTTCATCTTGGCAGCTATTTTCAAGAAGATGATGATCAAGGAGGCTTGGAGTACCAGCCCGCTCCAGGAAGTCCTGCTGCTATGAAGAGGAACGATTATTCGGATGATTCTGATGACCCCTTAGACAAATACATGGAAAACATTGAGGTTTGTTTGATTGATGGTTCTGGCGACCCTCCACTTTTTACTTGCCCTATGATCAATTTTTTGACTGTCCCATCTTAGATTCAAGTGGGCGTTCCAATGCATTGGAAATATCCCAATACGTTCCAATGAAAAAGCACGTTTGCACATAATTTTAACAGTTGTATGGCTCATCGAAGTGTAGCTCGCATGAACTTGCAATCAACAGAACACGAGGAGCATGCGCACTCTATTTCCTACTGATCTTGATGGCTCTAAGACTCCAGCCCTTTCAGTTGCTGAATTTCAAAAGGTGCATGGCGCAGATGTGTAGCGTGAACCCGCGAGCAGCTCCGCAGACTCTGACTCACCGTCTTCAGGGAACACAACCCTCTTCAGTCTATTTACTGTTACACGTTTGTATATTGTCAACAGGATGATACAGCTTGTTAGATGCGTCCGTAGACCCGTTTCATCATCCTCATTATGCACCTTACGCGTACTTGTTAGGCACTCACGAGTGTACTTTTCAGCTCACCGGATTAATGCCGATCTTTCTTTCGGGTCTATCCGGATCTAGTCTAGGATACGACCACGCGTGGAACGTACAGCGCTCACGGAACAGCACTTGGGTCATGCTGACCACACTCCCGCGAGGCATTCCATGAAATCTTCTTGAATCGCGACGGATGCGCCGAATGAACTACCTCCTTGGGCTAGACGAATCTATAAGTTTTGCAGCGCGCTTTGATGTACTATTTTTTCATGTATTAGCATCACAACCCAATGTCTCGACATTGCCGAAACCTTGCGGCTGAATGATCATATATGAAACAAGGATTAGTCTGGTGGTCTTCAGCAGTGAAACATGTGTTCTCTGGAATACTGTGTTGTCTACCCATGGGTACGCACCACGAGTCTCCCAAGCACGAAGTAGCCGCTGTCAGCGTTGTACATCGTTCGATTTCGATGGAGTGTTCAGATAACAATCGACTCTTTCTGGCAGCATACACACTGTTTTAGGATATGCACTGTATCTGAAGGTTGCAAGATCCGTCGATTAAGATCACTCTTAAACTCAGCCATTACCCTAACTTGTGAAACAATGATACCTATTACCAGCAAATCTGACGGTACGCATAAGAACTGATTATATTTTCGACTGAAAGTCGTCGATCTTGTAGGCCATGGTTGCAGACGCATCTTCCTTCGAAGTAATGCCGGTACTATATCAATGATGGTGTCATTAACATTGCGCTCACGTGAATGCTCACAAACTTCAACCACGTTACACTGGGTAGGGCAGTTACTGCTTGGGTTCAGGCCTCCTCAGCCTCCTCACCACATAACTTGAGCCTAAACTTTCAGGCATTCGGTGGTGGTTAACGATTGCTGTTACATAAATTACTCTGTGTATTTAATGGCTGCATTGCCAAAAATATCTGTAGGACACAAGACACAAACTCGGACTCGGTTTTCCATCTGTTTCCTGTTCTTTATTAGATACTTACCAGGTGCTTCTTCTATAGACGTTCATCTCGTCACTTGGATGAACCGAAGACGAAGGTACAACAGAAATGGATGGAGTTAATTAAGTTCACACAGGTGGTGAAAATGACTCAAAATGCGTCTATCTCTGTACCCTACCCTACCCTATCAATATAAGTTCGCTAAGCTCACTTTTTGGTCTGAAAGATCACCCGCTGATTGATGCTGTTCCGTCAAACTACGCTCACTGCTCGACTCGCGGGCCCACTATCATCGTAGCTCTCACTCTCTCAACATCAAAATTCAGAGATAAAAACCAGGACAAGTGCGGTAGACAAACATCAGGTGATCCTGTGAAATGGTAAAAAAGGAAACGAACAAAATAAATAACTAGACTACAAAAAACCAAACACATGTGGAGCAGTTAAACGTCAATAGTAGGGGATAAGTACACCAGCATTACTTACTTGGAGGTTGTGCCATTCACGTGATTCTCTAACTTCCGATTCCACCGATCGGTCTACTCTTTGGCGTTGCCTGCTAGAGAACGGGGTCCCGGAAAAGAAGATCTGTCTTGCTCAGTGGAGTGAGAGTTTACGGCGAACTTTCTCCGTCGCTTGTTGTCATTAGCGGTATACTACAGGTCCGCCCTTTTCACAGCTGTTCAATTTTACAATTGAAAACGTCCTGTTAAGAGCCCTAGATGATTTCTAAGATTTTGGCTTCGAGCATATTCCAGGTAAATGCACAGCTTGCTTAGATTATACTGCATACACTGAGCGGTATACTGAGTAACCAACAGATTCTGAACCGTTTCCCGATTAAGGCATATAGGTACAATAAGTACTTCTTCTCCTCGAAGTGTAAATGGCTGGCCCAGGATTGGCAGTCACCCACCCCTTTATCTTTGAAGGCGCATTGATGGAACCAGTAAATAGTTTTGTCAACCTGGGAATTCGCCTTTTTGCATGGCGACACTATTATGAAAGATGTTTCTTTTCACATCGCCCAAGCCCGGTCAGTCTTTGCTAATGTGAGTTAATGGTGTCTTCCAGATATCTCTCGCTAGTGGATCGAGTTTACAACGCCTCTGTTCGATTATTCATGCCGTATGGAATGACGTCCTGATCATTTCGCTGACCAATATGCGCTTTTTTTCGGCCTTCGACTATGGGTGTTTGAATAGGATCGCTCTTGTGTGGCGACAATACCGATTTTTCAGCATTAAAGCTAGACGTCGTATCTTGGAGAATGCGAGTATTTCATACAACCATCTGGTTTTGCTGTGCTAGTTGAGATGGCTCGGTCAGTCAATAAATCAATCAACAACAGCAGTATATCCGCCACTTGAACTGATGCTTCCTTGCCATACAACCATGATAACCTAGGGAATAAAGAATAATAAGTGAGAGAAAGAAGAGGGACTTACCAGAAAACTTTAATGCCCTAAGCAAAAATTCAAGTTCCAAGCGCCTACACCCTGTGTTAACAACATACCGTCACAAACAGCTGACTATCGTGCAAATATAAGGCGGGATCAGCGAGACAGCTTCCTTGCGACTTTTACTGCCTCGCGTCATTATCAGCTATTACCCAGCAGATAACTCAGCACCAAACACTCTTTAAACAGGCAGTCCGACTAGGAAACGGTAGCAAACGCGCCACTGGTGTGGACTACGAGCCAAGCACAAGGCAGATCACGTGGACTCCAGCCTGAAAGGTGAGACGGACCGTCGGCACCAAGTTTGGTCGTCAGTGACTTCATTTCACGCTGCCAAATCAACTTCTGTCCACCTGGAGCCTTGCGCCACCCTATATCTGGCGGGCAAAACAAGGCCCTCCTGAGTAAGTGGTGACCAGGCATTCGTAGTACGTGCCCAAGCCAACGCAACTTACTCAGTGTTATCTGTTGTTTTAAAGAACTAGCTTGACTATCACTGCCTAGTAATCGCCTACGCGCATTATCGTCGCGGACACACTGGTGCCATCCGACACCAGCAATGCTCCGCAGACAACGATGATCAAAGACTTGAAGGCGCCTCAGATCTTCAGACCGAAGTGGCCAAGTGTCACTCCCATAGAGCAGGACGGCCCTCACTGTGGCCTTGTATACACGGCCTTTCAAACGAAGGGAAACTCCCTTCTGTCGCCAAAGATGTCGCAAGTTCAAGATGGCAGTTCTGACCTTTGCAATGCATGAACTGATTTCAGTTTCTATTCATCAGTCGTTGTTGATGCAGCCGCCAAGGTAAGTGAAATGATTAACCACCTCGAGTTCCTCATTAGGAAGGGTCTAGGACTCCTCAAGTGGCTGCGGGTTCTGCAGCAGCACTTTGCACTTTGAAGGTTCGAAGCGCACACCAAATAATGGGATCATTCTAGACAAGCTATTCAGGGTTTCAAATTCTTGGGAGATACTTGGAACCGATCGAGTAGTCATGAGTTCAGAGAGGTTTGGAAACAATCGGTTTGATATAGTAGTTGGGTAACGTTTCGCCTTTAACATAAAGGCTTCGTCAGACCAGATGAATCAGTGTGCAATTGGTGTGGGATTTTATGGCGAACAGGGGCGATAACCGCGTTACCCGAGTCTTGAGCCATGAGTCATTACAGGAACAGTTCGGGATGTCACCTCAGGTGGTTCGATCACAGTGGGAATAGTCCAGGTGTTCCTTTGTGCGTCATGACATTGACGGATAAGCCCATAGGGTTGACAATGGGAGTCGGTTTGCACTTTTCAATCTGATCCACGCATCGATGCTCGTCAAGCTGGTCGGCTTAAGACCGCCCGCCACGCATTAGGGATTTCTACCCCTTCCATTCTATTCACGCAGTCGTCAGATTTGGCAATTTCCACCGTCTCGGCAATCAACCGCTGAGTGGTTGATCGGATACTCTTCCTAATGACCTCTACGTTTTCGAGGTCTATCTGGTGACCCGTGTCTAATGCATGCACAGCTACGGCCGAGTCTCTTATTATTGCCTGATATTCAAACTCGTTACTTGGTAGTCTTGCAATGCGTCTCCTATGCTCAGAAATTCGTGTGCGTAATTCTCTCGCTGTTTGACCTATGTACACATGTGCACAGTCCTTACATTTAATTCTATAAACACAGTTAGTCGTCCTATCCTTGGGAAGCGGGTCCTTCAAGAGTACCAGCGCCGAACGTACCGTTCGACCTCGGTGAAAGATCACCCTTATATTTTCCTTGTTTAATACCCTCCGAAGTGCCTTCCTTGTACGGAAATCCGACCGTCCCTATCCACTCGGCTGGGGGTCTTGACTGCCGGTGTAGCACTTTATGCAATTGGCGTTTAACTAGCCGTCTTGGGTAACCACTTTCTAATAGTTTGCCCATCGCCACTTTCCGCGCAGCCTTTTTGTCCTTCTCCATTGTGCACAAGGTTTGTGCCCTGTAGAAAAGCGCTGAGGCTATTCCAGCGTAAACCTGTTTCGGATGACCCGAGGTGCAGTGGAGTACGCCATCGGTATCCGTTGGCTTGCGATATATTGTCGTCTTTAAATTTCCCCCATT